TCCTGGTCCCCTTACCCCTAGATTTAAGCACTTCCCTGCCACCAGAATTTTTCCCATTACCTATTGTGTGTTTTCTGTGTGGTACCTGGCATAGAGCCTTTATGCAAAAACACTGCCAATTGGAAGAGATTATTAACTCACTTATTAAAAAATAATAACTACAGTGTTCATGTAGTGCTACTGTTGCCATGGCCTAAATCTTAAAAGAAGAAAGAAAATCATAAGAGCACAACATGCTGAATCCTTTGTCAAAAGTCTCCCAATCTAAACCAAAACTGATCCCAATACAAGAAAGTTATCTACTTTGTGAGTGCTTATACACTAGGGATTCACCATCAGGTCTTGACACCTCATTTCACTGCCATTTTAAATAAGTAAAGCGATGTTCAGCAGTGATTAAAAGCAATAGAAACAGATCCACTCTCCATCATGTATTTTGGGATCCAGAGCTTCTCTTTCAAATGACCCACAGGGGAATGATATTTACTGCAGAAATAACACGGTCCATAACCAAAACTTGTTGCCCATTATTTGTATTCACTACAAAGTTTGCTTTGGCTAACTTAACAGATGAAACATCTGTCCTGTCCCGTTTCCGGTGTGCTGCCTAAAGATGAAAACATCTGGGCAACTACAAGCTTCCACCTACTCTGCAGTGAACACACACTTGTGAAATTTAAGTGATTGAACAATGTTGAGTTTAGCCTTTGGTATTTACCTTTCTAATCATGATGATTTCATACAGTTAGTCTGGAAAAATTAATACCTCCGCCAATCATTGAATTTACCTTACAAGGGAAGCTTCCACTAACTTAACAGATGAAACATCTGTCCTGTCCCGTTTCCGGTGCGCTGCCTAAAGATGAAAACATCTGGGCAACTACAAGCTTCCACCTACTCTGTAAGGAAAGCCGAATTAAAGGTAAATATTTCACCATCACTTTTCTGTAGTTCCAAGCTTGCAAAGGAGGTCATTTGAAAAAAGAAACCCTGGTAGTATGACCAGAAACAGTGGTTTTGGCTTTCAATTGAGCCTGAAGTAAATAACAATTCTCCCACAGAATGTGAAATCCTTACTTGTGCAGTAAAATATGTCATACAATAGTCAAATCCACATTATAAATTTAAATTTATAGCCAGGTCATTTTAAAAACAGAAGAAAAATAACCTAAGATCGGACGGAGTGGACTTGGCTTTCAGTCCACCTAGAGCAAAACTTCAGTAACTTATCAGTAATTTTATTAGAAAGCTATTTTTTTAAAATAAAGGTCACAATATTAACATCATTAAAACACTTTTACCCTTTAAGCCCCAATACCTGAATACACAATTTGCCAAATAATCTCCATGCATTAGTCGAGAGAATTAATTTGTTGAAAGATGAAACCCTTCTCCTTGTGGTGTTTATTTGGTTGTCATAATCTTTTCCTTTAATGAAGTAATGATGTTGTGAGGGGAAAACTGTTTTGGGTGACTCTTGGGACTTAAAGGGTTTGTAGCCCTGCCACAGTGTCAGAGTTTTTTAGTTAGGGGAGATATGACAACCAATAGAGAGAAGGAGTATGATGTCACTTTACCATGGTAGCAACATTTCTGGATCACAACAGTGGGGAGCTTAAGCAACAACCACAGCGACGGCAACGAATGGCAAAAAAGAAATCAGTTTATTATATAAACACCAATGAAATACTAGGTGAGCTTTCTTGCAAAAACTTGTTATCTTCACAGGTGGAAATAACATGTTATCCTCACATGTGAAAATATCACCTTTGCTATGGCTAGATAATAAATCGTGCCTTTCACACCAAAAAACTGTTAAAGTGAAATGGTTTGGTATTTCATTGGTGTTTACATAATAAATAGAACATTACATGGCTGCTTGGACATACGGAATTTCTCTTCTCGTTCAACACTTGAAGAGAAATTTCTTATCTCCGTGCGGCCATGTAATATCCTCTAGCAAAACAACAACTTTGCAAGTGCATCACATTTTTCTGTACATTTCTTATCCATCGTTGCAAGTCTGCAGCTTGAAACTTCCTAATTTCACGTAACTGGTTTATGGAGTTGGTGAACACAGCACAAAAATTTTCTTTTTCTTTTTCTAAAGTCAGATATGGTCCTTTTGGATTCAACCCCAGAAAATAATTTCGCCACGATTTTACAAATTAAAAGAAACTGAATAAGATCGATAAGTTTGAAACAGTGTGAATTCACTTTTTAAGTGACCTTTTCACTTTGTTGTCATCAACAAATCTGACATAACGACTTCTCCTCTCCATTTAATATCAAGAACCTAATCATGATGACAGAGACTTGACACTGACCAAGAGGTGATCCAAAGAAGCCCTAGCATTTGGGTCATTCTTTAAGCTGCATTCACTAAGGGAGAGAAGTGGCTTGCAACCAATCTTGGTTGCAATCTGCCTTAACAGTTGGCCAAGGGCATATACATCACTTGCATGAGATGGAGGGTGGGTTCCTGCAACAACTTCAGGGGCAACATGTGTGTACTTCTGTTTGTATGTCTCTTGTTCTTGTTTGGACAAAACTTTTCTACTGGCTTCCTGTTTTCTAATGCACTTTCCAAAATCAATGATTACTGGCACAAACAGTGTATTTTTGTATGTAAGCAAGATGTTATCACCTTTTATATCCTGATGAATCAGTCCAGAGTTGTGCAACACTTTGAGTGCTTCTAGAAGTTGCAAAATGACATCAAACCACTCTTGATTTTTTAAAACCAAGGTACGGCTATGTAACGTCCTGTGAAGAGTGTATGCTTTGCCTTCCACATTGCAAAACTGAAGTACTAACAGGTAAGGTTTGCACACAAACACCATAAACGTAGGGAAAACATGGGTGATCCAACTGTTTCATCAGTGATGCTTCTTTGATAACACTGGACTCTGATGACAGGTGTGTGTTAAATTGTTTAACAGCAACTGAAATCCCTCTGTAATTCATTTTATAACAACGTCCAAAGACACCACATCCCAGTAACAGAGGTTGGTCAGTAGAACCACTTGGATCTTTCACATGACTGAGATGACTTCTCTTTACATGTGACACCGGTTGATCTGCAGAAACTGGGGCATCTTTATGTGCCTGTTTCTCATTCTCCATAGTGTTTGATTTATCCATTTTGCTAGTCTGAAAAAAATTAATACCATTCTTGCCAATTATGAAATCTGATTGGTTCTCAGTAGCCCTTACATTTTTTAATTGCTTAATTTTGCTGACGCACCCATTTCACCCTCCCCTCTAGATCCGCTCCTGATCTAGTATAAACAAGAACGCGGTAAATCGTGTCCTAGGGCTTTGAAATTTCAAAGTTTTCTGGGGAAGCATACCACAGACTTTTCCAAAAGGAGGGGACTAGCGGAACCTTGTTGTTACAGTCGGTTACTGTATTTAAACCTGCTGGGGCCCGTTTCTCGAAATTCCCAATAATTAACGGGCCCGTAAAGCTGTTGTTGTTTACATGCAAGGTAGAGGTTTCAATAGTTTTGCATCTAACATGATAAAAATATCAGTTAATGAAACAGAATGGAGTAGTTTACTAGCCAGAACCCGCGTTCTGATTCTTTATATTTCGATTTGAAAATTTGATTTCGGGCCCGAAACGTTACCGGGGCTTTCGAGAAACGGGCCCCTGGCTACTTCAATTAGTAATGAATAAATAGATGTGAGATATTTGCAGAAGCGGCAGATGTTAAAAGTCTTAACCCTTCACTGTAAACATTAGATGATATTTAACGGACTACGAAAAATTACATCAAATGGCGTTCCTACCCGTTCACGAAGATGTAGAGCATGCCATTTAGCGTAATACTTCCTCGCAAGATGGAGCAATCTTTCATTCTTCGCTACGGTCATCGCTCGCTCATCTTCAAGTGCTAACAGAGCTTTTCTTCTTTTATCTTCTTTGTTCGCCGCTCTAGCCTTTCTCTTTCGCTTTCTTCTGTCGTTCTGCATTGCTGCTCTTTCTTTAGGGGTATTCTTTCTCCAAGAAAATGGCTGGTTTGTCTTCATAATATTTATACGATGCTTATGACTGCCGTCCATATTTCCCGCCTCTGAGCCATTTCCCGCGTAAAATTGGGTCAGCAATGATGCTCAATTAGATAATTATGTCATTTATGATACGCGAAATCTCCATAAGGGGTGAAACTTTGGCTTGGTGGGGTTGATACCTTTTAGGGAATGTAATCGTTCATCAACGACTTAATTTGTCCAACAATTCCAACATTTGACATATTTTACTCTGTAATACAGTAGCTCTTACACATTTCAAGGGGCCAGGATGTGTTCTTTAATTTATATTAAGTTTTGCACAGATTTTTACATGATAGAAGAAATTATGTGTGCACTAAAACTGGTCTGAAAAAAGATTATGCATAGGTTTTATGTCAAGCCTGTGCATTAATAATCAAGTTATAAGAAAATAGTTGAAGGGTAGGGTGACTCCTGATGTAATTTTAATAAATTCATTTGATCCTGTTAGCCCTTTAACCAAACAAAAAATGACTAGTTTCCAAACCCTGGGCCTTTTAAAATACTTCAAAAAGTTGAATTCCAGCCCTTTCAAATACCTGAAGCCTGAAAAATGGTACCCCTAAGCAGATCCTCCAATTGTGTATAAAGCAGATATCGTTCATTTCTCCTCCGTCTGTTCCAGTCCTTTATCAGAGGCAATTGGAGTATTGTTCTGGCACCCATCCACAATGCACGGAGTACATGCCACCCTTTTTCAGTTAAAATGTATGTGGGTTTATTTCATTCTTGACTGAAAATAGATTAATATGAGCAGGGTATTTTTTTTACCAAGATCACCTAATTGGATTTGAGTAAGATAGAAGCAAGCTAGGTTTCAAGAACTGAAAATCGTTCCAAACCCACAATTTAGCCACATCATCCCACATGTACATGGTTTTACATACAAATCCTTGTAATTTCGAAATTTTCAAAACTGTCATGAAATAATACCAAAAGCATTA